CCTCCCCTGAGAATCATGTTTTATTATATATATATCATACATCTGTAGCCTTTTGCATAAGCACCTTATTCAGTCACATTTGTTATACTTGATTCTTGCGTGATTTGTTAGGTCACTTACAGTATGTTTTTGATACAAAGCAGCAGGGTGGGCAGGCAGCATGTACACTCCCTTGGCATATGGAAACTCTGCAGACTATAACACTGAATGCAGTTTGACCTCTCCCTCGTGTAAGGGATAGAGCAACCTTTCAGCATTACTTTGCTCAGTCCATTGCAGTTGCGTTGTCATCTTCCTGCATCTGTAATCCAGGTGTTCAGCTTTTCCTCAGTGTCATATTTTGGCAGAGGTGTTAGCGTGGCTCTGATCTCAAAGAATAAAGTAAGATGCCGGGTTGGCGGAATAGTCCAGTGAGTGGTAACTAAACAGTGATCCTGTTTATACAGAGTAATGTTCCTTTGAATGCTGTCCTTATAAGTTTATTAACATCTCTAGCTGCAGCAGCATGTGCGTGTGAGAGAACATCTGCTGGCAGTGCTCGATTTATCTTGACTCTTATTTTCTGGCCATGAACGACGGCACAGCACTGGAATGTGCTGAACGCTTTCATCAGGGATAACCTGGCAGTGGCGCTGAAAGCATCTTCCCAGTTCAGACTGTCCTGTGGTGATTTGAGCTAATGCTTTAGATGAATTGAATGAATAATGAATATCCTGAAATTTAACTGAATTACAGCCTGCTTCAAATTGGAAGGAGGGAGACAAGCACAGAACCTTTCCTTTCCTGCCCTGTTGTGCTATTCCACCTGCTTTCTGTCAGTTCTGCCAGTTTTGCCAGTACTGAGTCAGACTAGCTCATGGAGGCAGCAGAAAGCTAGCGATGCAAGCGATTAATGCTTTCTTTTGGGTCACTGAATTAGTGCAACTTGCCATGCCGTTCCATGATCACAAGGCAGGAGGAACCGCTGAAGAAGAACAAGTAGGCCCACTTCTTTTTAGTAGTAGTCTCTGATCGGATCATGTTGCTCAGAGTGAGAAAGCGCTGTTTCTGTATTACAGCGGTAGACTCGTGAGGGTCCTCATTTTGAACTGTGGCGAGATATTTAGTGTTGTTGTTGACTTGTGAGGTTAATTTCTTTCCTCGTGTGTGAGGACAGAAACTTAAGGTAGGATTCTGTGATATGCGGTGAGCTGGTGTAACGTTTTATCCGGATGAAAGTGGCAGTGGTTGTGCGTTTGAATAAGTGCAAAAATTTTTCTGATGAAAGTAAACTTCTTGGGGAACATGTTACCTCTAACTTCAGAATTTTCAGATGGATGTTAATCTGCAAGCTTTTGTGTTGCTGGTGGTTTTGCGTTCCATCCATACGCGTTCCTACCTTCACATCAACTCCCTGGCTTCTGGAACTGCAGTCTTCCTAGGAACAGCAAGAGCATGGGAGTCCTTCATTGTATCATGAGTTCTTTGCTTAAGCATCTGATTTCCTGTTGTTGATCCACTAGAAGTCTGTCTCACTGGCTTCCTAGAAATTGTTCCCATTTTGGTCTGTCTTTGTCCTTGTTTTGCCAGTTTTATCTTGGAAGCATGCTGCAACGTTTCTGATGAAACAATCTGGTATTTTAATACTCTTCCAGGGTTCTGGTAGTACTTAGATTAGAATCAACACTCTAAGGTGAAACTTACCCAGCATTTAAGTTTTCTGAAGCTTTTTAAAATTCATAGTATTTATATAATATTTTCCACTTTTTTAGAAGGGCGTTCACTTGTGGGTTGTTTTTTTTCCTTTCCTGCTTCAAACATCCGGTAGAATTACAAGAGTTTTAAGTTGCACAAAGGTGACTGTCATAAGAGGGGTCATAATAAACAGCTGATATCGTGGTATTCACTTCTTTTGAACCATTCAGGAAAAGCCAGCTATATGAAAAGGTTATCATGCATGGAAAGGCTCTGCTAAATCGCAACAATAGACCTACCAGGCTGGATTATTATTTTATTGAGTGGTACTATTCATCACCTGGATTTATGGACTAAAAGCATAAGCAAGGTCTGAGAGATTGTAAGGTCATACACTACGCTATACTGATGTGTAGTTGGTGGGGAATATAACAAGTGACAGTGCAGAACCCTTCTACTGACTGCTCCCCTCAATTTTTTTTGGCACACTTTGCATACTGTACCTGGATGTCTGTAAGCATGGTCCTAAGGGAATATTCCCTCCCTGCCCACCTTCCCAACTCCGAAAAATCCCTGTCTTGCAGTGGCCACAGAGGATTCATTAGTCAACTGCCGGACTGGTTTGGGTATCTTATTTTTTTTTGGAGAGGATTACTGGAACAGTGTTAGAGGATTATTAGCTCTGGCCTGTGGCAGGGTTGCAAACAGAAATCACCCAAGGCTAGAACACTTGCTGAAGCGGAGCATTGACCTCTTTTGTTGCTGTATAAAGTTGCCAAAGTCTATAAAGGCATGCCCGAGTCTAGGTTAGGTTTTTGCGTCACTAGGCATCGGCAAGGTTATAATCCGTTTAGAAGTCCAGTTAATAGCAGGGACCTCTGGGAGGTTCTGTGATCTTCCCTTAGCCTTTGCACTTCTGCTGCTGTTGTGCAGACAGTAGAATAGACTGACAGTGCGGAGGTTTATAAACTCAAGCTTACATTGCAGGTTGTTCTGTTTTTATTTTAACTCCAGGTAGCTGAAGAAAAATTGGTCTATAAATAGAAGGCTTAACAGGGGGAGTAATATAATATAGACCATTTGTACACGTGAGTGAATGACCTTCATAACTAACCTGTGAGTCATTCCAGCAAGAATAAATTGGACTGCACAACCATTAACTGCAGTGGTTTTACTTGCTAGTTAATATGCTAGTCTTAAATAGCTTTTTTTATGATACAGTGCTTGCTTTGGAAATACTAATTTTCATGGTAGGTTCCTATATTTCTGTGTCAAGAGTTGGTTTTGTTTCTTTTATTTTAAAGGTAAAAACAGGTCCTCTTTATATTGAAGATAAGCTTGTTCTGCATTTAAAAAAAAAAGCTGGAGCACAAGAATATGGGGAAAAATAGGGAAGAAAAAACCTGAACATTTTTTAAGTGACTGTATGTAAGATAAACTTTGTTCCTCTCATGTTTAACTGAAAACTATGGCTACTTCTTTTTTGCTGGCCTTTTATATCTTCATTGATGGGAGTATGTGTTTGGACCCGAGAAGCTGTCTTTGTTCAGCCTAAGTACATTGCAACATGTCACTTCTTAAGTAATTGCATGTAAACCAAAATGTAAAGGTAGCTAAAATCTTTTTGTTCTCAGCTTGTTTGTTTTATTGATGTTTCCGCTGCGTTAGCTTGATCATTTATTATAAATCAACTTGGATTTTTGCAGTGGTAACAGAGGTGGGATAAATACTACTTTTCTGACCTTTGCTCTGTCAATTTGTAGTTCTAAACAGTCATGCAGTAATAAGTCTTATTTTGCTTTCATACTTCTGTTACTGCTATCTGCAGTTTCTGCATTTTTTTCAGTATGGTGTAGCTTATTCTGAGCAGTGTTTAAAAATGTTATCTTTCAATATTAAATCCACAAGTGGAAAGCTTGGTAGAAGATCACTAGTACCGTACTGCACTAGTTCTGGGAGAGTTTGAATTGATGGAAAGAGTAGTTATGAAGCTCAAACTTCTTGATTTAACAGAAGTGTTATGTTTATTGAGTATCTGTTACGTGATTGCAATTTTCTGTTTTGTTCTGTTGGTTTTAAGAGCCCTCATAAAATGGAATTTTCAGATAATTCTAATAATACCTTTCCTATTTTTTTTTAGGAAAATTTCATTATCCAAGTAAAAATGGATTGCTTGTGTCTGTGTTTTGTGTGTGTGTGTGTATATATATAGTGTTTGTGTGTATATATGTATGTATGTATATATTCACTCACTTAGAGACTATTGTCTTCCTGTTGAGAAATGGATTAGATAACTGCTGCTGTTCTGAATGACCTAAGTGTTGTACTTGAGTTTGAAGTAGTATTTTATTCGTGACCCTTTTCTCTTATATCTCTCTTCTTCCTGCGCAGCCTTTCCGGGTCAGTAGGGCCTGTATGCTTCTTTGGGATACAGTACACAAACCTCCTTGTTACCTAAATGTGCACCAGAGTATGTGTGTTTGAGGTACCTAATGTCGCTGTTGCTAAGATAAACGATCTCTTAGATCACTTTAAGGTTATGAGTCATCAGTCCCTGACTGCTCTTTTATATTTCACTTGTTCAGTATAGCATATCTGGAAGTTGCTTTTCAGAGCATTCATTGTGGTGGTCCACAATAAGTCTTGAGCAGAAATAAGCCAGAAAGTTTGGGTACCTGGGTGTGATAGCGCAAGCTTTGTTAAATTCAGATTCTAAAAGTTTGTTTTTGTCTGCAGTGTTACTTTTCATTCTGTATTTGGGAAAACCTCCCTTTGACAGTGGGGAGTTCTGTAGAGACGTAACTGAGGGACTTGCCTTACAGTGACTTTGCCTCTAAAACTCATGATTATGCCTCTAAAAAGTTCCAAATCTCTCAAACGCTAACTAATTGGACATAGTTAACTTCAAATAAATTTTTTTTACCATATCTGCAGTGTACTATGCTGTGTGTGATGTGTATTTATGCTGTTTATGCAGTTCTTACTGCTTTTATTCTATTGATAAACGAGCAGGAGTTTGTATGAGTGTTTACAGTTTTTAATAGTAAACAGGTAAAATAAGGAAATCAACTACTTTTAAAAATTACTTGGAGTTCTGAAAGGGAGGCAGAATTTAGTCTAAAAGGAGTGCAGGAATTGCCTTCCTGGTGGGCTGCTTAGCTCAGTGGCATCAGATATTTCAAAGGAAGGTGATGTCTTATCTGTAACAGGTGTGAGGGTTTTTTTTGTTTGTTTGTTTAATTGAAGAACCCATAATGATTATTCGCGGCAATGACTCAGTAAAGTTGACCTCTTAAATGTGTTTTTTTTTTTCTCTTGTTTTGTAGAAGACCCTTTTGAGGACTTCTTTGGGGGCAGGCGAGGTCCAAGGGGAACCAGAAGCAGAGGTGGTGGATCATTTTTTTCTGCCTTTGGTGGATTCCCTGCTTTTGGAAGTGGTTTTTCTTCATTTGACACAGGTAAATATCTCACAGTTTCACAATGAATGCATTATTTGTTCACAGGGGATTTCAATGAAATAAGTTGATAAATTCTTTTTTAAAAATTGCCTTCTTCATTCAGGAAATTCTGAGGCTATTTTTGAATTAAAACTGCTCTCTGAAAAGTCGCTCAGAGTAAACAACCTCAGTTAGTGTTTGGTATACCCGAAAGTTCATGGGGGGAAAAAAACAAACCGCTGAGAAGTAGAATGTATTGTGTTCTTAGCTTTTGGTGCTACAGTTTCTCTATGATTTAGATTTGTTTTTGATCTGTTTGCTTTTTGATGTTGGTGTGATGACCTTAATTTAAGGTCCTGAAAATACACTGGGGAAAACGTGTGCCTAAAACCTATGGTATTAGCGTCAGTTCTGGGGTACTCAGCTGGAATTGCGAAGTTTAATGTTTGTATCTGAGAATTTGATGAGAGTTGCCAGGAGCCAGCACTCTTCAAGTATTAAGATTCTGGGTTTTAGTTGGGAAGTTACGGGTGCAAAACTTACTCAGTCTGCTAACATCCCAAAATCTATATTTAAAAAAAAAAAAGAGACTTATTAAAGTTTCTACTTTTACCTTAAGGGAAAAAATGATTTAATGGCTGAGTTCAGCTGACAGGCTTGAATGCCTTTTCTTCAAGGAAGGTGAGCAGTCTTCTGACAAGACTCTGCACAAGGAGCCCAAACTGTGGGTCCATATAGGAGAAATAAATGGGCCTGGAGGCATATATTTTATCCTCTCGTGGAGGATGCTTGGTGGTGCTGTGTTGACACAACCAACAAAGACACCCTGAAGTTACGATGTAGTCCAAGCAGCTGATAAATTTGGATTCCCACGGTCGTACAAGTATACATGTCTTTGGTCAAATACCTTTCATGTCAAATTTTTTTCTCAATAGGTTTTACTTCGTTTGGTCCACTGGGACATGGAGGCCTTACTTCGTTCTCCTCTACGTCATTTGGTGGCAGTGGGATGGGTAACTTCAAATCAGTATCAACTTCAACTAAAATAGTTAATGGCAGAAAAATTACTACGAAGAGGTAAGTCATCTAAATATGTTCTTATGAAACTATACATATATATGTATCTGTATGTATTTTTACTTTTAATATTGTGGCTATCATAGAGTTTGAATTTCTCTGAATTGAGAAAAAAAAAAAAGACAGTAAAGATGAGATTTGGATTCTCTGGCTGCTCTTGCCATTGTTGAAATGGGGAAAATAGTTTTTTTCTGAACTTCTGACCGTTGAGGAGGACTGAGACGTGGAAGACCTGCTGTCAGAACTGCCCTGCTGAAAATGAAGTCAGCAATTAGTTGCTGCTTGAAAGGGAGGTGACAGTGGAGTTCTTTCCAGGCCTTCAGAACCATCCGTTTTTTGATACTTTTTTTTTTTATCATGGTGCCTGACTACTGTTCATCAGGTAAACTTGGCCTTCTGGAAAGGAGAAACTTGCTTGTTTTCTGTTGGTATGAAGCTGTTAACCGGGCAATGAGGAAGCCTTTCTATTTGGTAGACGTTATGAACTGTGAAACACTTTTCCCTAACTTCTGCTGTAGTGTGCTTTTCCAAGGCAGTGTTTGAGGGAAGCTAATGTTTTATGTAACAAGTAATTTTATTTCATCTGTTAAGTGAAACAAGCAGCTGAAGCCTGCTTTGGGAAATAAGTTCCTGTGTACTGGAAAGTGGATTTTCAAGCACTAGACACAGCCCGCTGCCTGACTGCTTCATGCTGGTGATGGGGAACCCTTGCGTATAGGAAACCCAAATATTAGTTAGCAATAGGGTAATGTATGTAACACTATGATCAGTAAGTTTTAGGAACGCTGAACAAGTAATTAGATGTCATTTCAGTACTTAACCTCTCTGGAAAAGCAAGGGAGAACCAATTATTTGGTAACTTGTCTCATACTTCAAAGTGCGAGGCTGCTCTTTGTGTCTGACTGTACTGCAGATATGCTCTCATCTCGACCACTTAGATGTACGCTTTTGTTGTCACAAACTGGCTTCATTGTGGTATTTTTATGTCAATGTATTCCATAAAAATGTGAACTGGCCCCTTTTGAGAGACTTGCACTGTCTGAGGGAGTCTAAAGAAAGACTTTACATAAAAGCAAAGATAAGGCAGAGTGTAGTTTCGTTTTTATGTGCAGTAATGTGATTAAAATAGGCTACGTTTAGGTATGCTGTCAGAATATAAGGCCTTAAAAAAAAAAAAAAAGGAGGGAGGAGGGCAGGGAGACAAGAAATGTAGCCATTTCTAGGAAGGCAGATTTGCCAGCTGTCTCAGACGAGCTGTTACATTGCACATGTCTGTCCACAAGGTAGCTGAGCGTACAGAGTATTCCTATCCCAGTTTACCTAACAAAAAATTATCTTTGAGTGATGTTTTCCTTGTGGCAAGAAGCTGTTCCCCCTGTTCTTAGTATAGGTGTGTTCTGCTCAGTAAGTCTCATCTTCAGAAAAATCTGTATCTACTTATGTGGTTTCTTCCCCTGTGTCATGAGGGAAGGTAATTCCAAGGTAATTCTACCTTTGTGAAATTTAGAAACTGGGTGTTTTAAAAATAATTTAAATTTGCATCCTCTTCCCATTTGTAAATCTTTTTTCATCAGTTCTGCAAGTGTGTTGCTGTCAGAACTGAACTGTTTCGTGATTGTATTTTAAAACAAAATATCAAAAAGTTCTTGGCTCTTTAATGATGCCTAACTCCATTCAGAGATGCTTAAATTCGGTCTAGTACGTGCTAGCCATAAACTTGGCATGCAATATGCCTCCAAATTAATTGCTTTGATCAAATTAAAAATGGATTAAAGACTGTCTTGTGTGCCTTTTATCATCCAAAATTGTGATTGGATCTAAAATATTATGCATATAACAAATGGGGCAGATATTAAATGCAACATCAAGACTGTACACTTCAAATCTGTCAAAAGGCATTTAGTTCTAGATAATAGTGAATAGTATCCCTGCCGTTGTGAGCATGTATGAAGTGACAGCTGTAACTGGAGGATTCAAACCTCCAGAAAGTAACTTTCTTGCTATCAATGAGCAATATCAATGAGGCAGTGCAGATGGTTACTAGTCACAGCTTCTGCACTGTTAAATACAAAAAGCTTGCCAGCTACAGTTGCATTCAGTAGTCGCTACTCCAGATATGGCATTAAACTTAATTATCTAACAACCTACCTCTGGTGTATGTTTTCAGGCAGCTTACAGGGCTTAAAAATGTCTCTGTTGTGTGATGTCTTTTTTTATGTTTTTTGTCTTACAGAATTGTTGAGAATGGACAAGAGAGAGTAGAAGTTGAAGAAGATGGCCAGTTAAGGTCGCTAACAATAAATGGTAAGGAGCAGCTGCTACGCTTGGATAACAAGTAATTCAACGCACGCATTTAACAGAAATTTTAAGCTCTAACAGCCACCATTTGAGGATTGACAGGAACATTTTTTGAAGATTTCAAACGAACTCAACTTTCTGTATATCCGTACTTAATCTTAAGTAGTATAAATAGCTCACCGGAGCTTGTATTTGTCATAGACTTTTGAGTTAATTGTTGGGACCACATCAATAGGACCATTTTTTGTCCTTAAAATTGTTGTAAATTTCTGTATGCACTTTTCTTTTTATTATATATGATCCAAGGTGAACCATGATCCTTCAGAAGTGCTAGGGCGAGATGTACACTAACACTAGCATGAATCTTGCTTTTTTTCCAATTTGTTTGAAATGTGAGCCAATTAGTAGTTTAAGTCTGCTGTGAAGTTAACATTTCCAGGATAACATTTTTAGTAATTTCAACTTTTTTTTAAATATTTAGTAGTGAACAATGTTAATACATTTCTGGTAATGCATTTCTGGTTTAAATAAATTAAGGATGTTTTCTAGTTGTGCATGAACGCAGACAACTTAGTAAGTTTTGACAAATGTTTAAATGTGTAATGTAAGCAAACAGTAAACAAAAGTGAAGCCAGTGAGCTGGGTCTTTTGTCATTTGCTTAAAAAAAAAAAAAATTCAATATGAATAAATGCTGATGTTTGTGGTGCATTCTTTCACGAATGGCATTGGTAACCTTCCTGTGTCTGTGTGTGATTTGGGCTTCTTGGGAAAACAGTGTTTTTCTTTTCTTCTCTGTTTTTCTCCTCCCATTCCTTCAAGCTTAAGGATGAGGGCCTTTATTCTTTGCAGATGTTTTCGTCAATGTGAGTGAAAACATGATTTTTAATTTCTTTTCTAAACTTGTATTTGAAGCACCTATTTTCAAGGAGTATTCAGAGGTTGACTTTCTCGCTCCATCTTTCACCTTAATATATTACTTTTTTTTCTTTGGTCCTACATTTTAAAACAAGCAAAAAAAAAACCCTCTGAAGCTGTAAGTTGAGACCCCTTTAAACAATGATCTGTATTGGGCATAAACACCCAAGGAAACAATTAAACAAAAAAACTTTATGAATTATAACATTTTTTACTCATATTGGGGATGAGCATGATTGCTTTGGAGAAGGCTTACAAAACGAAAATGAAAGCTAACTAAAATATCTTGCTAAAATATCTCTTATTTTTACACATTAACCCAAAGTAAAAAAAAATCGGTGAATTCCTTTGTTACATTAATGAATGAAGCAAAATGTTAATCTCTTAGATAAGACCAGATTTTCAAAGTTTCGTGAAAGAAATTACTGTATGTCTGTGATGTCATAGATAAAGCATGCAAATAAGTATTGCCACATGTGAACACCTGCCAGGCCTTGGATACTTTTGTGCATTCATGGATGTGCAGTTTTTAGTCTCTTTACCAGCTTTGAACATCTGGCCTTCACTGAGCTCTGCAGGCTGGCTAACTGTTTTTAAAGGAGAGGGGAAAAAAAAAAAAAAAAGCATAGTATTTTCAAATGATCAGTTAATGTCTTTTACTGAGCACCGTCTGCTTTGTACTAACAAATGCAGCTATTACTAAATACTGCAAGGAGTTGCTCATGTTTCATGCCAGATAACTTAACCCAAGAACAATACTAACAAATTGCTGCAGTAGAATTCAGATTCGTGTTAACATGCTTCCCTCTGCCATTAGTGTCAGTTGCATAGAACTAAACAAAAAAGCAGAGGCAGGAGAAGGAATAAACGTATACTTCAGTTTTGGGACAACGAAAGTTATGCACCTTTTAAAGTTTTTGCAGATTTTTGGCTACTTCAGTGTTGTGGTTTTGGTGCAGAAGCACAAACTTGGGCTAGAAACTCTATAAACAGTGTTTTTATTTTTGTCAGTCTTGCGGTGTTTTTGTTTTGGGGGGTTTTTTGGCTTCCTCGTGTGTGTTTCTTCTTGATAGAGATGATAACAGTTTATTTCAAAATCTGGTGGTCTTGTGATGTCTTGAGTTATTAAAAGAAAAATGTTAATTTACGTAGATTTATAGGACACACTGCTCCGTTATGTAAACTGTAAAAAGTGCTTCGAAACTGGTTTACCAACTCAAATAAAATTAGGACAATCTGGAGTTGTTTGAATTCCTTTTCATAGATACCTGTAGGTTTTATGCTCAGCTGGGCAAGCTTTACCTTCTGTTTTAATCCCAGTTTATCTTCCCTAGGTTCACTCAAGTTAAGAACGTGATGATGATGGTACAGCTGCCAGGGCAAATCTTTACCCATATGTTTAGCTTTGATCTTACCAGAAACATGTGGTCCTTCACGCACTATGAGCTACATATTAAACCATTCATTCAGGGGTTCCATAATGAAATATTTTAACTGTGTAAATTCCCTGAAGATGCAGTGTTTTGGATGGTCTCTCTTCTGCACTTAGATTCCTGAGGCTGGTGTTGTCAGAGCTGGACAAAATGAAGCATTAAATGTCAGCGTTGCACTTCCTTGATAGGAAGAGAAACTGATAAGACAGAGAAGTAGACCAGAAGAAATGAGTCAGCACTATTTAAATTAATCAGTAAAGATTTCTGCAATAGTAAGCAGATACCTATACATTGGTATTTGAATAGACTGACAGATGAACTGGATGAATATTTGGTCTTGGTCCAAGCATAATATTGGACTCCCCTTGCCAGTTTCAGATATAAAAATTGGTGCCATATTACACTTCTCCTAAGCCTATTAGTCTGTGGATCTAATATAAATTCTTCTTTTTCTGCTTATTCTGTTAAATGTTCAGACTTTCTTCTTAATTTTACTGCTGAAATGAGTTTCTTTTCTTGGGAAAATACGCTTACTAGGTTGCTCTGAAAACTTTTGCGTAGTTTCTTACTAATACATACTTTGCATGCATATACAAAACTGACTTAATAGGAGTAATGGGTCATCTAGGGCAACAAATTTCCTTAAACTTTCTTTTTGGCATAAATAGCACAACATACTAATGAAAGAGATTTCTAATTCTAGTAAATGACGTGTATCAAAGGTGAAGTGGGATGAGAGCTTTCAAAATCTAGTACTGCTTAAAAGTACCATTTCTTCATATGGGAAGGAGGGATTCATTTTCAATGTTTGGGGACACCATCCAGTTTAAATTGAGCTTCCTCCAGTGGTCTGGAAAAACTAAGATGGAGTTCTTGAAACTACTAGGTCACTCTTGTTCAGAACTTTTTCATGCTCTGCTTCAGAGTTTATAGACGGAATACAGTAATTTTGTAGTGCTTTTTCTTGGTGCAAACTCTGTCTCGTGTGTGACAGTAATTTCAGTGTATTGCACTGAAAAACTAAATTTCTCTTTAGATTGCATGGCATCTACCCCTTTCACTAGTAGAAATGCTTTACTGAAGAAGTTTAGGTTATACCTTAGAATATTTCACACACTAAAATTGCTGACTGCCGTTCTCCATTTTTACGATATCTGATGTGGTGAGAATCACAGATACTGTTTTGTGATATGTGGTGAAGCTATTGTGCAGAGAAAGTGTATATAACACTTGAAAGACACATGTACTATGTCAACTTGTGACTCATAGATGGATCGAGTCTTAGGCCGCTGAACATGAGACAAAAAAGAGGAAAAAAAAAAATACTGAAGTGACCTCAGACAAGTCCAAGTTTTTGACACGGCTCTGTCAGTGTGTGTTTGACTTTCCAGTTTACTTGCCTGTTTCAGTGTGTTAGCTTCATATATAAGCGGAGGTTTGTCTATGTTGTATTTAGTTGTGCTTCTGTGTTTCAGACCATCTGTGGGATTGTTCAGTGGTGAGGGAAGTTAGATTTGTGGAGTCTTCCTTGAGTTCTGTTCCTGAACCTGCTGCTGTTCTGTTCAACAAAGTGAGCTTATTTCCTACTTTGCCTTAGTTTTTGTCTGTGATCATAAAAGGATAACATCAACCTCCAGGATGACAGCATTGTAAAATGAGTGTGCTATAGCTGTAGGATGCTTAGGCACAGAGTACTTTTCAAAAACCCCCCGTATTAACATAATGTTTATTTTAAGTTAACGCTAGAATTCTTGTTAACCTTTTCATTGAAGCCTTTCAGAATTGTTTTTTGGAAAACCTGTCTCTTCGCTCCTCATGTTTGGATGTCCTAGTATTTAGGCTTGTTTTAAGTCATTATTTTCTCACAAGATAGTGACAGTGTAGAGTTCAGTAACCTGTCGGTCAGCTACAACCCTGTCTTTGAAACTCTTTAATGGAAGAAAAGTGTCTGCTCCCTCTGGTCTTGTTTGCTTTGTAGCTGAATTGTCACCAAGAAGTTGCTTTACGTACTGCTAAACAAACAATTTTGGTTCTCTTCCTGTTATCACTTGGCTTAAACTGGTTGTCTAAGTGAAAAGCTTTTTATCTCCCACCTGAAACATTGAAGTTGTCCTCACCTTGCCTTACTGTTGGAACCAAGCAAATTTGCTTTGTTGGCGATAGAAACTATACTTTTGAATTCTTAATTGTAGCGGATCTACTGCTTGACCTGCCCCTGTTTTGAGGGGAAAAGGCCTGCACTAGAGCTGGTTGTTCAGTGCAGTGTTGTCCGCGCTGCACTATTGAAATGTTATAGGGGGGAAGACGTTGGCTTGTGTTCTGCCATGTAGGTTTTGAATTCAAAAGACATTAAATGCCTTTTCTGAGATACTGCAGTTAAAAAACAAAAAAAAAAAAAAAAGTTGCTGTGACCAATAATCCTGAACCTATGTGAACTGACTGCTGTTTCAAACTTACTGAAACTTTCTGAGAACTAACTTTTTGATGTGGCAGACTAGTGCTTGGTTAGGTATCTGACTTACCTACAGTTGGTGGAAAGCTACCTGAAAAGCTGCATGAATACTGTATCCCCTGCCATGCTTACAGAGTCCAAAATGCATGCAGTAGTTTGGATTGGATAATAGATATATCTGAAAGATATGAATGAACAGCACATACTAAAAATTACAGAAATTAAAAATTTGTCATCCTGTTGCGATACTTGTCTTATTCGGCAATACAGGATGGCCACTCGAATAGGTAAAGACCGTAGCATCGTTAGTATCAGGCTATCATTCTTCTAAAGAGAGTTAGACTATGGATACTTTTAAAATTGCTTTGGACTTCTCTATGGAAGCATTTCTGGAGGAAAATGGAAAAAAAAAATCACATCACCAAAGCGCTCAGTCTTCCCTCCAGTCTCTTTACTAGAGTCCTAGGGCTAGACATTTGGTCTTTGAAGGACCTTTGCTAGGCTTTACTTAATAATACCGCCTTTCATCAGAAGGCACTTTGGTATTTGATTTGCTTGGACGTGCCCTGTTACAGTAATCATTCAGGCACCTCCCAAAATAAATCTCCTAATCTCTACCTACACATTTCTTACTACTAGGTGCTAGGAGATCCAGTCAGCTCCCTATTATCAAGTATATTGAAAGAGTTTCAGTAAAGAAAGGGAGTATTGAGCTCTGCAGTGCAAAGTGGGAGCTGGATGCTCAGGAGAGCAGTAGAGAGCTGGGCATGCACTTAAGCTGTTTTGGATGCACCTGGTGTACTTGTGAGCATTGAGTAGTGTTCACAGACTTCTTGGCTTCACGCTCTGACTTTGCTCCCGAGTGAGTCCAAACTGGTAGAGGATTTTTTTCCCTCGAGACCTTCTGAGTTAGACACCAGAACAACTGCCAAGGCACTCCTTTCATTAAATACCTCCAGTGCCACTTCATATTTTCTGAGCTTGTGCGTTTTAGCCCCAAGAAGAAAGACAGATCTTAACATTGTTGGTATTGCATGCTGCTGCTTCACAGTGTAACCTGAAGGGCGTGAAACCAATAAGGGAGAAGCAGGAAGCCATCAAAGCCTCTTTTGTCCTCTTGACATGAATCCCAAGGCCTTATTTGGGAAAGGCCTTTTCCTTATTTGGCCTTTGCCTTTCTCATCGAGAAAACCTGACCGAGAGTTACCACAGTGAATCCAGAAGCAAAGGGCAAATGCCTGTATCGCCTGTTCACCCTGCCTACTCTTTGCTGGCAAATCCTCTGTGCTATCTTGGAGGCTGGTTCCTCAGCTGCTGCTGGAAAAGGAGGTGCTTCTACAGGCCCAGAGCTATGTGCCAAGTTCCAATTTTCATTCTAAAGAAATGCGTACGTTAGTAAGATAAAACTGTGGCTATTAAAGGTCATCTTGGTTGGAAGAAGGGTATAAACATTTGTATAAGGCTAGACAAATTCGAATGAGAAGATAAACATAAGTTTAACATGTGCGTGATTAACCATTGGAAGAACCTGCCAAGAGCAGGTTTCTCAGCTCTTGGGTGTCTTCAAGACTGTCTTTTCTGAAAGATACGTTTCAGTGAGGAGTGAGTGGTTGGAGCTCTATGCAGAAATAGCCTAGGCTTCGGAAGGCTAGGGTCAAGATGCAACATATGGCTCTGTGTTCCTTCAGGCCTTTGTTTATATTCATAGTCTGTCTTTCAGCATGATTTTGTCATACTCTTATTTCTTTCTTCCCTCCCTCCCCATCGCTGATGTGTTAACATGAATGCATAATGCTGTATCCTCTTACTGTGGTTTTGAGACTGTGGGTATCCTTTTGTGGTGAAGGAATTTGAGGGATGGTTGAGGTTGCATTCGGTTGCTCTTGCGACTGTTCGGATTGGGTGTGGAAGCCGGGTAGGAGAGGAGACAACACATGCAGCTAGGGCATGGATATTACTTCCATGATGACTATTGCCTGAAAGAATCCTCTTCAGGATGTGTAGGTGCCAAGAGTGGAAGTCATGTGGGAGAAGACATTCTAAATCTATTAAGGTAAGTAGTTGCTTTTTTATGGTGGACAAATTGGATGTTTAGTGATGAGGAGGAAACCAGGGTGAGGACCTTGGTGACTGTCCTAAGGAATTTGCTTTGGAACGTGCTTTGCAATGAACCCCTGTATGTCTCCTGTCTCTTCTCACCAAAAACAGGCTGCAGAGCTTGAGGGAGCCTGATTCCAGCTCCTGAGGTGAAGAGTAAGAGGTCTCTTGTTAAAGTAATGTTATGACAAAGTTTCATTTGTCAGAACGTGCTGCTTTTTAAATGTAGACAAAGTTTTAGCAGGTTAAAGTTTTTATT